CTCTCTGTTACATTCTTCATGTCTTTATCCATTTTTTGCAGCAATTCCACTTTTTGTTTGATGAACATCGAAACATACTTTCGTTTTGTACGATCCTTTGGGAGCTCCAGAATCGGAAATTCTATTTGACATAATCGAAAGTTCAAGTTTACTTTTATAGTATTGCTCTTACAGTCTGCAAAAAATAATAAGCCGGAACCAATTCGAAAATTAAGGAACAATGCAATCATCAACATTTACTGAAATAGATAATTACATAATTTTAGCTTATACTGTCCGTTATACATAAAACGTGCACGCAAAAACGTATTCTACGCTTGCGCACACGCATATGCGCAGTGGTAAAAGGTCTTACGTGCACGCGTAAATGCCTATGCGCATGTGTCAACGCAGCGCATGCGCAGAAAGTTTTAAGGTTTGAGGTTCGGATTATAGATCATTTCGGATTATGGGTGTCCGAATTAACGACTTTTGACTGTATAATTAATTCTCTAATATTTTTTTTAAAAGTTTTAAATAAAGGTACTTATTGGTTTTAACGGTGACCAAAGCGGCAAGGATAATATACCGGCATGTTTAGGCACTATATCTCCTCCCAAATAACTAATCGATTTCCAAAAATATAATAATATAATTAAGAAAAATGTTGTATTCATGCTTTTTTTTTTTGTTCAAATTTGAGTGAGTTTAATATACTCCTTTCTTGAAGAATGCAACAGCTTTATTTTCATTTGATTATAAAATGAAAATTGGCATAATTTTGAATTCCTCATGCCCTCCCCTCCGAAAAAAAAAAATAATTCCATGATTCTCATTACCTGGTTTTGGCTTTGTAGTTTGCTATAGTGTTTGGAATTAAATGCTGCTCTATTAAGTGACTGATCATAGGTAAAACTGACAAGTATCAATATAAACCATTAAAATTCCATTTCTAAATACTTTATTTATCACTTATGAAATGAAGAACTTAAAAATAGGGGAATTAAGATAAACATAATGTACAATAACTGAGTTTGCTTTATATATGTGTAGATGTGTAACATAGTGTGGTTTTATAATTCATATTACAGTCAAAAGTCTTTAATTCGGACGTCCATAATCCAGACCTCAAAGCTACAAACTTTCTGCGCATGCGTAAACGCATTCGCATAATACCTTTACGCATGCGCATAATATGTTTATGCACGTGCATTTAATGTATAACAGACGGTATAAGCTAAGTTAAAATTATCTAATTATCTATTTCATTTAATGTTGCAGATTGCGTTGTTCCTTAATCTTCTAATTGGATCCGACTTATTATTTTTTGCAGACTGTTACAGCAATTTTATAAAAGTAAGCTTGAACTTTCGATTACGGAATTTCCGATTCTGGAGCTGCCAAAGGATCTACAAGCGAAGCTGTTTTGATGTCCTCAACACAAAGTGAATTGCTCCAAAAAATCCTTTGTTCTAACCATTCTGAAATCTGTTAATCAATTTCCGACTGAAGACGTGGCGGAGCACAATGAACTGGAAGTTGATCTGTCAGCACTATCCTTGATCTTCAGGGCAGATGTTTTTAATTCTTATTCAGTTTATATTCAGTACGAATTTATAATAAGACTTTCGATTACGGAACCGATTCTGGAGCTGCCAAAGGATCTACAAAGCGAAAGCATGTTTTGATGTCCATCAAACAAAAAGTGGAATTGCTGCAAAAAATGGAAAGGCTATCCTAACCTGAAATTTTAGCAGACGTGGCTTGGAAAAATGTAGCCTATATCTTCACAACCTACTAAAACCTTGCATCTCGCTCCATTTTTACAACTTTGAAAATGTGCGCGTAGCGTATGTTGTAATTAACCATTCATTAATTTTAAATTAATAATTAATTGTAATCAATTTATTAAATTTAAAATCCATATACATATAAAACTGAATAATTAAAAATATACCTTGTAAATTATATGTACATTTAATCAGAAATTTTCTTTTAACTCCTCAAGCATTCACTAAGTACTTCAAATCACTACTAATCATAGAAAAAATCAGAAGCTATAAATTATATCTTTATTCTGGATATGATTTCTACAGGGAAATAAAATTTAAATAACCAAGAATGATACATATAAGTATTAAACAAAATACGCATAATTTATGAATGCAAAGATTTATATGTAGCATGCTTAGCAAGCTTAAGTTCTGATTTTGAGAATGTTTTTTTATAACACAGTTCTTCATTTGCCTGCATATTTATTTTTTCAATCAAAACTGCTTCAAGAGTTTTAAGACCTAAATTTGGTCGAAATTCCGTCTGATTTTTTTTAACAATAGAAAAATTCTTTCGCAAGCTGCATTTGAATGAGGTATTATTAAGACAGCAAGCATTACAGAAGGCAATACTTTGTATTTAATACACCCATTCATATTTTTTAATTTGGCAATTTCTCCCCATGCTATATCAATACGCAAATCTACAATTTCTTTCAAATCATCTACTTGATACATGGAAAATTCAATTTACTACTTGATTAAGACATTTTTCATCAATAATGGATGGAAAAATATTTATCAAGAACAGATGAAAATTAAACTTCAGTTCTCAAGTTGATGTCAGCAACTTCAGCATGTTTTAGAAATGGATCACTTAGTGGAAATTTATCAATTATATATCTATGAACATGCAGTTAAAAAAAAGAAGCTCGCACAGAATTGAAAAATGATTTCACTTCACCTTTCATTCAAACTTGGCATTTTTTAAATATATTCTTGTTTTTCCGCACCAATCACTAAATTTTCATTTTCTTTTTGCTTTACTATACTTCTGAAATGGAATAGATGTTAGAGTAACAATCCTTCATTTTCTTTAGAAATTACTGATGGTTTTACGAATCTAACAAACAAATTCATTAAAAGTTCAAAAAGTTTTCTTCTCAATTTTTATGTATATAAGAAGCTTGTTGTTGCAAATTAATATTTTCTGTTACAAACAAAGGCAAAGTATTTTTCAAAAATAATAAGTACAATTTTGGTCGGTAATCATAACATTTTTTTAAAGTTTTGCAATCTCTATTCTTCATTCTCACTGTTATCTGGTTGATAACCAAATAAATAAATAAATAAATAAATAAATAATCAGAGCATCCTACTATTCCAAAATCCTTGTTATACAGTCTAAAAGAGAACAACCATCTCGTACGTGCAATATTTCAAAATTTTATGAGCTTTTGCATTCTGTCCAAAATTTGTTGAGCAACTTTGAAGCTGTGCTTCCGTTTCGAAACTTTTCTCCAAAGTAAAAATATACATCTATTATCAACATTTTTGATTTTCGAGCCAATTAATTTTTCAGTAGCTTTTTTGCAGCTATATGCAAGAGGTGGCACGGACAACCTCGGGTGTGATTATACTTGGTTGATGCATTTGATAAATGATGCTACCCTTTAAACTTTCCAATCATATTACTAGCATTATCTGAAGAAAATGATAAGCAATTTTTCCTTCTAAACCTTTGTTTTAAAGTTTTCATTTATACAATTAAAAATACCTTCTCCTGTATTATTCGTGCATTCTAAAATAGAAATCAATGAAGTAATTATCACTCCCTTTCTTTACTGTAGTATGTTATAACCAATGGGTACAGTTTGTTATCATTGTTATCATTACTTCCATCAGTACTTAGAGAAAATGATGTACTGCACACTGATTTTATAATATCAGCAACAGTATTTTCTGCAAGCGTTTTGTTTTCACAATAGCAGCAGTTTTGGTTATGACCGCAGCTAAATTTTTTTGCTATGGCAGAATCCGGAAACATTGCTTTGAAAAGCTCTTTGGAATGATCCGAAACAGAAAGCGGTAGATTATGTTCAATTTAAAAAACGAACAAAATAGCATTCGGCTTTTTAGGATCTGTTTCATCATCTTTTATTAAGAAATTTGTTATTTCTTTAGATTTTACGGTGCCGAGTTCTATATGCTTCTGAGAAAAAGCACATGCCGTTTACAGTCATCTTTTCCGCCATGAGCAACTGAGAAGTCTTTGTTTTATACACTGCAATGTGCATGATTCACAGAAATTTCCGGACGCTTTAATGCATGGAAATTCTGAAGAATATGAATCTTTAAATTTCTGCTTTTGATAATTTTGGCTTCTTCGTTCGAGGCAGCATTATTATTAAAAAAAACTTTCACTTGATTCACAGTTCACAAGACACATGCTAAGCTCTCGCCGTAAACTACACAATGCAGCCGAATGCAGCCTAAAAACACGCATCAGCGAGGAACCTGGGAGACAGACAATAGAGACATAGAATGTCTAGTAAATACAAATATTTGGTAGAGATATGTTGTGGGTAACTATTGACAAACCATTAACGGTTGGAAGTTACTGATCTACGGATTGGCTAGGGATTCTTCAAAAACTAGGAACGCACTCAACACGTGATATATGATAACATGAGTATTCAGCCAATCATCGGATGAATTAGTTGGTTCCGTTTTGCGTACTGGTTCTCCTGCTCTTGTTTCTGTAAAATCCGTAGTTTTTTCCATACTTTTTGTAGCTCATAGTTTTTCATGAATTTCCGTAGAAACTACGGAGAATCCGTAGTAGTTGGTGTCTATGGTACTCTGATATGATTTAAATCAAATTCCTCGTGATTATAAATATCACGAACACACATCAAATAATTTTCTGCTTGCAACTTTCTAATTTCGACTATGCGTAATGTATGCTTTATGCATGCGCACATTGAAAGAAATGTTTAATAAAGTAAACAAATAAATATTAAGCTTTTTTTGTAAATTTTGATACCCTTTAGATAATAATTGCTCTTTATTTCATAAATTACGGTTTCATATTTTTAATTTTATAATTTCTGCATACCATCTTACCAGATTTAAACTGATGATCTATAATGGGGAAAAACTGATAATCCAGAATCACCGAGTCCGGATTAAAGACTTTTGACTGTAGATGCTTTTTATATAAAGTGTTTATTGCATAAAGTTACTTACACATTGTCTCCACGCACAATATATAAACCAAGAACTACTTGTTCTATGCCTTGAGAGGAGCTATAAACTCTTTCATGGCTTTCATCAAGGATCAAATTAATTGTTTGATCAAAACCTTTGAGGGTACCCTATTAAAAATACAAGTACTTTTTAAAAAAACCTGTTTGATATATGAAAATTTTTGAGAGTTATATAAATCTGAAAAATCATGGCATGAAAATTATGTTAACACAGAGGAACAAATACTAAATATAACATTTTAAACAAATTATGTTTTTATCCAAGCTAAGCATATACCAAATAATGTAAAAGTGTATTTTCCTGCAGCTATTGACATCCAAAGTCATTGAGATACACAGGAAGTCAAGAAATCATAGGCTAGAATAATATCTCAGAGTATTAGATGATTGTTTTACTTATTTTTTCATGCAAATGATCTTAAAGTGCTATAATATTACATAAAAAGATAGCTTTTCCACTAACAAGGCATTCTTATGTCATGTTGCAGATAAACATCAGGTCTATGATAAAGTGGCATTGCAAATTAGTACTACATAATTTTGTCCTACAACAAAAGGCAGAAAGGAACCCTGGAAACTAATGTATAAAATCTAATTCTCTTCCTAAAGGACAGGTGAATATTAGATAATACAGCATTAAAAATTATATATTTACTTTTGATAAAACTCTAAATATTATTCCTTAGAAATGAAACATATTTGTTCTTATGAAATAAGTTGCTTTTGGCATTTTCTAGTGTTCTTTGTTTTACAAGCATCCTTTGCTTAGGTCTGCCACATTTTACAGTGATACTTTACAGACCTTCAACTTCAGGTGAACCTAGAGACAAACAATTATTGGCCAGCTAGTTTAATGTGCATCTCTAGTCACATACAGATTATTTATGGATCAGTAATATAGATAACGTCTGCTCAGTACAATGCTGACTGAACTTGGTATAGTCTCTCAAACACCGACGAAAATTTATCATAATCAAAATTCAGATTTTCTCTTTGTTCTTTTAAAAGCAACACAAATATCGATGCATGTTTTGCCTTCTGAAAATAGTCAAAGCATATACATGTTGTGATCTTTCAAAATTTATTGGATCATATGAAAGCTTATAGGCTATCTTTGCCAGTAAATATCTTTTCTATTATAAGAGAATATTTGTATTGTTCCACAATGTCAGTCAAACTATGAAAGTCATAACACAATGCCTAAGTAATATAACTGACAAATTACAGGAAGAAACCTTTTAATCATAATAATTTTACATTGGAAAGAAGCTGGTTGTATACTAGTTCAGTCATCCCAAGCATTACTGTTTCATTCTCCAAAAGTAAAAGATTATTTTGCAGCACTCTTTATATTAAACAAATTCATCCTTCAAAATGAAAATTTAAAATAAAGTCAAACCCCATTACAATAAAATTCAAGGGAATGAAAGTTTGTCTGCCTGGATTGTCACAGAAAAGTAAAAAAAAATTATAGAACATTCCCCTCCTCCACTTATTAGCATTGTCACATCTACCAAAATAAGTGAATAACAATTCTAATTAAAAAAAAGAATGATATTAAGGATTAATTAAAACTATTTTAAGCAATTATTAAGATTGCTTTTGTCATTTTCAATTTTAACATAAGCTTATGGCAACTATTATTTCCCCAGATGACAAATAACTCATTATTATTTGAATGCTTCACCAGCATCTGCCGTAGGCAAAGTTTGGATGAAGAGTACTAGGCACACAATCCACTTAAGAATAAGCCTAACTATTTCTTCGAACCAAGTGCAACAGTAGCAGCAGTTACCAGTGGAGAGCTGCAGTTGACTACTTCAATCAGCAGCACCTGATGTGAATGAGTGCCTGAAGGATTATCCTTTATTGTCAACTATAATTGAGTTACAATATTTTCCGAAAATTAAAAAAACAATTATTGTTTATCCATACTGCTGCTCAGTTACAAGCTCCATGTATACTATGCTTAAAGGGAAGATCGAGGGGAAAAAAAAAGAAAAAGAAAAAAAAGAGAGAAATTATTGGCTTGGTCTACTGACTTGAGCCACAGCATCTTTCTTTGCAGCTTGTAAATTGTAGACGTACAATACAATAGCTAATACTACATTCCTATCATGCTACAAAGCTAAATCTAGGTTGTATTTTTCTTTACCGATGCCTCAGAAATTGAAATTGGTGCATTTTTACATCAGCATAATAATAACCATGTTGAACTTCTGTCATTTTTCTCTCAAAAATTAATACTGACTGAAATTAATTATAATACAGTACAAAGTCCAAGATCCCGACATCCAATACCCAGAATAATCTAAAATCTGGACTTCAAAGTTCAAAGCCACCAACAACTTTTCTTTCAGTTTTTTTTTTTTTTTTTTCCCTTTATGCATGGGCATATTTGATTTTTTCACCCATAATAAAACATGTGGTAAGTCACGATTCTTAATTTCACTTCAGCACTAAATAAATTATCTTGTTATTGAAGAAACCATCATTTTAGCATAAATTTGTGTGATCAACAATTTGACTCCATCGCAGCGTATCTGCTTGGCATACATCTCAAACTGAAACATTCTACATAGAAGCATCATTGATTTTACATCACTGCACCAACCTGGTGAATAATTATTAAATATATTTTGCTTCTATCACCGCATGTTTATCCAACACATGACAACTTGAGTAATGATTCATGCAGTGATGCCTAAAGAATTCTTTTTAATATTAGTAATTGAATAACAAAGAGTATAATAACCTTTTCTGTTGACATTATGCTTGGCAATGATAACATATTTAAGTTAAATGTGCCAAGAAATGTTGAGAAAGAAAAATTTAACAAATGCTAAAAAGAGACTTTGTTAATGATACTTATAGGCCAAAAGATTGCATTTAGTGTTAAGAATAACTGATCTGTTATTCACATAAAACCAGCATTGGCAATAGAGATCATATGGCCACAATGGGTGGCAGAATTTAGGGAGGACAAAACTTTTTGAATTTAAAAAAGCAGTGAGTTAATAATAATAATAATAATAATAATAATAATAAAAAGGATGACAAAATTTCTAGAATTTAGGAAAAGCACTGAAACCCAAAATTTAGGCACGGTAAAAATTGGGAACTGATCAGCAACAGCTCTCCACAATGGACAGGAACCTTCCACTAGCGTTACTTGGTATGTTTTTCAATCTCAGTGTGATTTAAATACCTCACCTATTATAGAACTGCCCTGAAACTACATGGAGAATTCTTTAGAAACTCATCCCAATTTGGATATGCTATATCAGCTAATTCAATATCATAGCTGCCAACCTTACAATCTTAAAAACGTGGAGATTTTTGCCAGAAAACCAGAAGAAACTGGGAGGTTTTTATGCTGAGTAGTGACAGCATTTAAATTAACTCCAAACTGAGTTTAATTTACTTCACATTACATGTTTCAAGTTAATGAACAATTTGTAATACAATTCTGATGTAAAATATATTAGCATTTAATTAGATATTCTAGATTTCATGTTCTTAATGCTAATTTTATTTTAATATTTTCTTACACCTTCTACCGAAAATATACCAAATAGCGAAACTTTGTTTATCAAAGTACTTTTGATAAAATAAAATTGATAAATATTTGTGTGAATAAACTTAGTAATGTAGCAATTATTGATGTAAAATAAAATTCAATACAAATATCAGCTAATTAAAAATTTCTTGAATCTTCATATAAAAATCTACAGATAGCTTTAGTAGATTATGACAGCTCAGATCAAATGAAATTTATTAAGAAAAATTGGTACATTTCAGTTATTAGAACCAGATTTAGAAATGTAGGCGTGTGTGCACGTGCATATATAAACACATCCATACATATGTATGTATATACTTGCAATACATAAACATATCCATCCATTCTGGTTCTCATACTCGAAAAGTTCAGAAAAATCTAATAAAATCAAAAAATTTTTAGATTAAATCAAATTTAATAAGAAAAATTATTCCGAAAATTGCTAGAGGTGTAGTATTGCAATTCCCATAACTTAAGGTTCATTAATTCAATAAACATCATTTATTGCTGGGAAACATTTCTTATTAAAGGCTAAAAATTAAAAACCAGGAAATTTGATGATTTACTGAGAGACAGGAAGATTTGATGAAAATCAAGGAGTCTCTCGGTAAAACTGAGTGAGTTTGCAGCTATGCAATATCTACATAATGCAGATTATTTAATATACACATATATAAGAAATTCATTGTAAATTTGCATTTATTATATTTAATACTATTTTGTCAGTAATTTATTTAAAATAACGATACAGTACAAAGTCCGAAATCTGGACTCGTCAGGACCTTGGTGATTCCAGATATTAGATCACCAATTTAAATCTGGTAAAATGGCATGCAGAAATTATACAATTAAAAATATGAAATCAATTTATGAAATAAAGAACAATTATGATCTAAAGAGTATCAAATTTACGAAAAAAAAAAAGGCTTAATATTTTTTTGTTTACTTTATTAAACATTTCTTTCAATGTAAAGTTGTTTAAGTTGCTTCCACAAAAAATTCAAAAAGTTCTTTTTTCTTATGTCATATACAGTTGACTTTCCAATGCCATACTCCTCGCATAATTTTGAAAAGTGAAATTGCTGCAAAAAATGGATAAATGCCTTTATCCATTTTTTTGCAGCAATTTCACTTTTTGTTTAATGGACATCGAAACATGGTTTTGCTTTGTAGATCCTTTGGCAGCTCCAGAATTGGAATTTTTGACATAATCGAAAGTTAAAGCTTACTTTTTATAAAATTGCCATAATAATAACAGTCTGCAAAAAATAATAAGCTGGATCAAATTAGAAGATTAGGAAGCAGTGCAGTCTGCTATATTAACTGAAATGCCTTAGAATCAGTAAAGATAATTTTAGCCTACCTTAATAGTGTCCGTTATACATTATTGGCTCGTATCACAAGATTGGAGACGAAAGGCAAGTTGTTTCGCTAAATTTTGTCTTGCTCTTATTGTGTACTGAATTAAGCCTGAATTGTATTAGTTTAGTTATTTAATATACCTACATTTATTCCTTGCACATGTTTAAAACTAATCTGAGTCTTGAATAAACTCTCACATAAACTTAAGGCTTTATCTAGGGTTGGCGCTAGATACCACCTGGTGCAGTCTCTATGGGTCCTAAATTCTGCTACAAAGTGCCTTCCTATGTTCTAAATTTTCACTATGCCTAAACTTTGGATCCCAGTGCTTTCCCTAAATCCTAAAAAACTTCCCATCCCTTTAATTTTGCTGCTCCGTGCTTTCCCAAATTCGAAAAATTTCATCTTCCCTAAATTCTGCTGGCCGGTGCGGACATATTCTACTGGGTTTATGGTGAATAACATATCAGTTATTCTTAATTAAAATATCAGTAAATGTAATGTTTTGGCCGATGAGTTTCATTAATAAAATCTATTTTTAGCATATGAAAAGAAATTTTTGTTGACTTTTCCTCGTCAATATTTCTTAGAGCATTTAAAAATCTATAATCATCGCCAAGCGTAATGTTAGCATAAAAGGTTGCCATACTTTTGTTATTTAATTATGAATTAAAAAAAGTTTAGACATCACTGCATGAGTTATTATTGAAGCTGACATGTATTGATAAACATGTGGTGATGAAAGCATAATATAATAAATAATGACTCGCCAGGTCGGTGTCAGGGATAAAAAATAGATGAATGTTTCAGTTTGAGATGTATGCCAAGCAGACATTCAGCTATGGAGCCAAATTATTAATCTCACAAATTTATGCTTACATGATTGTTTTTCCATAATGAGGTATTTTATTTAGTGTCTAAGTGAAATTAAGAACTGAAATTTTCAAGTGGAAATCTCCAGATGTTTTATTATGGAAGGAAAAATCAAATGCGCATGCGTAGAGCATACAAAAAGAAAAAAAAGTTTGTGGCTTTGAGGTGCGGATTTTAGATCATTTCAGATAATGGACATCCGGATTTCAGAAATTGTATTGAATAAAATAATAAATAGGATATATATGTTAATTTCTGCTTAAAATGGCTCAAATATCAACTATAGCTTCTTTTTCCCTTGATGAAGGATTGAAAATAAATAAGCAAAATGAGTATTTTGCAATGAAAAGCCACTATACTGACCCAATGCAATTGTGAAACACTAGTTAGATGGTTAACCATTTGTTTCTTGCATACATGTATATAGTTAACTGTTTGTTTCTTGCCAATGCAAAAATGCACGAAACCCACTTTCTCGCTAAGGCTGTCATAGAACACAAGTATTGAATTTTCACTAAAAATTTCAATTAGTCAAATATACCCAGCAAGCCACTGGATTAAATCAATTTTTGGTTGATCTTTACATTATGGTAACTTGGCGTTTTTTTGGCGACCAACTCTCCTACAGCAACCCTCTATTTTTTTTCCCGCCGCCATTTTGTCTTCACGAAGTAAAGACATGTTTCTTTTCTTTTTATCTACTGAACACTTCTTCCAACAATCTACTACCCCCGAATTACACTTATGCTAGAAATTTTATCTAATATCTAACAAAACTGCTTAATCATGACAAATATTCACTGCAAAATTGGGAAAAAGTGCACAATACCATACTCCTTACGCATTTTTCAAAATAACACATACACATAAACCATGTACACACCGACTTATTTTTACTTAAAAAAACATCCCAGAATTGCACAAAAATGGCATTGCGCACACCCTTCACTATATCCATGTACACTGCTTTTTTCTCATAAATTAGAAAAATTTCACAAAATACATGACAATTTTCTCAATCTTTAAACCCGGGAAAAAGAACATATATGAAATTACCTGATCGCGAAAAAGTAATGAACATTTCCACATATTTAATAAATAAAATATCCAAACACTTTTACCTCTAAATCATCTATTACATTATACACGTCACCAACGAATTCATACCGCAACCATTACAAATACTTATTGTCAGATATTTAAATTATTTCCATGCACGTTTACTTCAACTAAAACGTATACCAAATTCCTACAAACATAAAATTCACAAAATAACTATCATTTAATTAAAATATAATTAAATTCAAAAACACTACTTAAAATATAAATGAGCACATACATTAAATTAATACATACATAAATACCCATTTCGAATTCACTTTAATTACGGCCATGGGGGATCCAAAAATTCACGAACACTGTTTCACACAACACAGAATAAAGCCAAATACAAAATTTCCAGATTTTTTCCCGATTTCCCCCCTTTTCCGATTAAAGAACCGTAATTCGTCCATTAATATCACATGACATATCCCATGATCTCTCATTTCCCTCACACAAAATAATGAGTAATCGGAACTGAGTACTGCTCACATTATTACCAAAGTCCCAGGTAGTAACCTTTATCGCCTCCAAAATGTCGCCAAACTACCAGTTACCATATTGTAAAGATAAACCCAATTTTTTTTTTCTAAATCAGTTAAAAACATAATATGTAATATACTTACGACAATGTTTCTTCCATCAGCAGTTATAATAGACACAGTATCTAAAACAATGTTAAAGAATCCGATTTGCAAAATTTTATACAGATCTGCATTTGAAAAATTATCATACACAATAAGTCATCATATTTAGATATCATTACAGTACAAAGTTCGTAATCCGGACTTGTCGGGAGTTCGGCGATTCTGGATTAGGGGGTTTTCTGGATTATAGATCATCAATTTAAATCTGGTAAGATGGCATGCAGAAATTATACAATTAAAAACATGAAACCGTAATTTATGAAATAAAGAGCAATTATGATCTAAAGGGTATCAAATTTTAAGAAAAAAAGCTTACTATTTATTTGTTTACTTTATTAAACATTTCTTTCAACGCGTGCATGCGTAATATATGTGCATTCTTTATACGCATGCATAAAGTTTGTGGCTTTGAGGTCCGGATTATAGATCATTCCGGACATTGGACGTCCGGATTACAGACTTTGTACAGTAATATCATTAACATAGATATCATTAATGTCAGCTATGAAATGAATATCAAAACTCAGAATTCCTGAAAACAATTTCTATAGCTCAGAGTAAATCACTTTCTTACTTTAAATTATTAGGAAAAAATTTATTGTTTACTTATTAGTCCAAAGGGGCAATGCCCAGAAGGACTATTTATTTCATTTTGGCATTTTGAGTCGATTCATGATAACCATTGTTTCACTTTTTAAATTGTTGCCACCAAATATTATTATCCTGTATTATATTTAAAGAAATCAAATAACGAAGAATCTGCATGAATGTATGTATGTTTCTCGCACTGTGATAAAACAACGGTATATAGAGCCATCAAAATTTTAATAACGCAATCTTCCATAAAAGATGGAAGATACGAATTCAAATACAAATTAGGATATGTGGAAGCTCTAATTTGAATTTTGTTTTATTATTGATTTTATATTTTGTAACGCTTCAACGAATTTTTGATTTACAAACTAAACGATTTCAAAACAAGCAATGGCAACACTCTACGGGGAGAAAAAACGTTTTAATCTCCAGTGCACGAGACTCTGTATCGGAAATTCTAAAGATATGCTCATTTTAAAATTATTTTGCAATATTGCTATTGAACTGAGTTTTATGGTTTAAATGCGAAGAACATGATATTTAATAAATATAGGTAACACACAAAATGTTAAAAAAAAGCCCCTTTAGATGTAATTTAAAATTTGAAACCTTTCAGATTTTTTTTTTTTTTTTAAATTTGTATTCTTTATTTCTTTTATTTGTAAATTTAGAAACAAGGTCTTTTCAAACTCGCTCATATACATATTGCATATGGGAAAAAGTCACGAAACTGCCAATGTAGCCAACTCATTTGTCTGGAATCGAACCCAAGTGTTTCTTCTTTCGGAAATAGAGGGTTTATTGCAGAAGGAATCATTTTTTCAATGAAGAAAAGAGAAGATAGTTTGCTAGACAATGAGATCTTGCTGGGTTCAATATATGTAGATCCGAAACACCGAATTTTCTTGGATGACAAACAAATTAAAAAGGCAAAGAACGTCATCTATGAACTTTCATTAATAATGAAATTATTCTCAGACTGGAGAATTCAAATCAGGACAGTCAAACTGCGGACGTTGCAAATCAGTCTACATCATCCTCTTCCAGTGATGAATTAAATTTTAAGAAATATTTTGGGATAATATTGAAAAGACTAAGGCAAAGCGAATGAAAATAAATAACCAAGAGCCTTTACATATAAAAATGAAAAAATACAAACAAGGTTCTTTGAAGAAATAGAGAAATATGATTGTGCTTGCAAGACACCTCTTTTAGAACTTTCAGTACATTCTTCAGTATAGATTTTTTATAAAAAAAACTATACTGAAAAGTTAAAAGTAGCCCTACCAGTAACAGCTCTTCCTCCTACTCAAGTTAGTGTGGAAAGAGTCTTCTCAGCTCTTAAGTTCATCAAATCAGATCTTATCGAAGTTATACTGTTTCTTAGAAATAACTAATGCCAGTTTTTTTCATTTCATAATAAATGCTAATTAATATAAATAATTTGGGTTGATCTTTACAATATGGTAACTGGTAGTTTGGCGACATTTTGGAGGCGATAAAGGTTACTACCTGGGACTTTGGTAATAATGTGAGCAGTACTCAGTTCCGATTACGCATTATTTTGTGTGAGGGAAATGAGAGATCATGGGATATTTCATGTGATATTAATGGACGAATTACGGTTCTTTAATCGGAAAAGGGGTTAATCGGGAAAAAATCTGGGAAATTTTTGTATTTGGTTTTTATTCTGTGTTGTGTGAAACAGTGTTCGTGAATTTTTGGATCCCCATGGCCGTAACTAAAGAAAAGTTTATCGGACACGTAATCAAGATTCTGAAGAAGATTAGGTAAGTTAGTATTTTTAATTATTTGAGGATATTATTTTTATGCATTGTTCTAAATGTAAGGTGGAAGTAAAGGAATTTGGTATTATTGGGAAAATTGTTATTAGCAATGATTTAGTTTAAAGTAATTAGGATTGTAAGGTAATTTTTATTAATTTAATGTATGTGCTCATTTATATTTTAAGTAGTGTTTTTGAATTTAATTATATTTTAATTAAATGATAGTTATTTTGTGAATTTTATGTTTGTAGGAATTTGGTATATGTTTCAGTTGAAGTAAACGTGCATGGAAATAATTTAAATATCTGACACTAAGTATTTGTATGGTGACATTTATAATATAATAGATGATTTAGAGGTAAAGTTTTTGGATATTTTTATTTATTTTATATGTGGAAATGTTCATATTTGGAAAGGGTAAATACTTTTTCGCGATCAGGTAATTTCATATATGTTCTTTTTTACCGGGTTTAAAGATTGAGAAAATTGTCATGTATTTCGTGAAATTTTTCTAATTTATGAGAAAAAAAAGCAGTGTACATGGATATAGTGAAGAGTGTGCGCAATGCCATTTTTGTGCAATTCTGGGATGTTTTTTAAGTAAAAATAAGTCGACGTGTACATGGTTTAGTGATATTTAATTAAATGATAGTTATTTTGTGAATTTTTATGTTTGTAGGAATTTGGTATACGTTTAAGTTGAAGTAAACGTGCATGGAAATAATTTAAATATTTGATACTAAGTATTTGTAATGCTTTGCGGTATGAATTCGTTGGTGACGTGTATAATGTAATAGATGATTTAGAGGTAAAAGTTTTTGGATATTTTATTTTATTTATATGTGGAAATGTTCATATTTGGAAAGGGTAAACTTTTTTCGCGATCAGGTATTTCAGATATATGTTCTTTTTTACCTACCGGGTTTAAAGATTGAGAAAATTGTCATGTATTTTTTCCGTGAAATTTTTCTAATTTATGAGAAAAAAGCAGTGTACATGGATATAGTGAAGAGTGTGCGCAATGCCATTTTTGTGGCAATTCTGGATGTTTTTTTTAAGTAAAAATAAGTCGGCGTGTACATGGTTTATGTGTATGTGTTATTTTGATAAACACATAAGGAGTATGGTATTGTGCACTTTTTCCCAATTTTGCAGTGAATATTTGTCATGATTAAGCAGTTTTGTTAGATAAAATTTCTAGCATAAGTGTAATTCGGCTAGTAGATTGTTGGAAGAAGTGTTCAGTAGATAAAAAGAAAAGAAACACGTCTTTACTTCGTGAAGACAAAATGGCGGCGGGAAAAAAAAATAGAGGGTTGCTGTAGGAGAGTTGATCGCCAAATTTTCGCCAAAAAAACGCCAAGTTACCATAATGTAAAGATCAACCATAATTTGCTATGCCATAAACCCTTTTTTGTTTCTTTACCACCCCAAGCTATGCCATATCATCCGGCTAAGCCAAAAACTTTTGTTTTTATTATTGTGTATTCCGCACTCTAAAAGTTTGTTCCTTGGAACCAATGCTTACTAATGAACTCAATTATTTGAGTTCCTTTGTCACTAACTGAGGATTTTCTTCCATGGTCATTGATAAAGCATTTAAAAAATTTTCAACTTGCCATCAAAGAAGACGTTCCGCTGTTAGAAGTAAGATTAATAACGTTGCTGTAATTCCATTTCATCTTTCTGTTAGTTGTAAAATTGCATGAATTCTCTAGAAGTTCAGTTTTCAAGTCATTTTCTTGTCTATCAATAGAATTCACAGTTTGTTTCTTAAAGATTGTATTTCTGACTTTAATTCTTGGAGAATTTATAGCACATTGTGTTAGTGTGGTTTGAGACATATTGGCCAAACTGCAGTAGCATCTGCCCAATATATCTCAAACCACACTAACACTATATGCTATACGAGTTGAAGTTTGGTTGAAACAGCATTGAAGTTTCATATCAAAGAACACAAATCTTGGGTCTCAAAAGGCAAAATTCCTTGATAGCTAATCATAGTTGGGGATTTAATCATAATTTTGACTTTGGGAATCAACTCCTTCTCTTCGTAAAGTGGGTATAAGATTTTTATCCCTACAGTCTTCCACAATTTTTTCTAGTACTCGATGGATTAGCTCTGTCTTTTTGCACTCATTTTATTGGAGCATCAAGATATACTATTAAATCAAGTGCTAAACACATGTTTCTAAGATGAGATATTACTTTTTGTGTGTGTGTCCAAGTTACAATGATTTTTATAACAAATCATATTTTTATAATTTTTAAATTATATTTTTATTTTTATATCGAATCATTTACAAACAAATCATACTTTTTGTTAAATGTGAAATTCAATTTAAAATATGCACTTGTGGAATTTGTCTGCAATGGAAGAAATAGTAGTATGACTAAAATTCTGAAAAAATAAAGATGAATCAAATTATAAAGTTACAGAATAATGTAGTTTGCTATGTTAGTTGAATTTAAATTACCTGGAATCTTAGTCCCTTCGCTGTTACTATGCCAACAAAAGAAAACAAATTATGAACAACGTCCTGCAAACAAAAACCTGCTTGTAACATGGTTCAAAAAACAATAATTCAAAATTGTTGCAACATCTTCCTTCTCAGAAATGTATATAAAAGGTGATTTCTTTAAAAATATCTTCTAATGAGAATTATGCTTAATATACTTATTTCTGTCTTCATTGTTAATGAGAAATATTATACAAATACTTTTTATTCATTAATATTAATTTTTTTTTAATTTCGAGAAGTTTTACAATGTTACTTTAGCTCTGAACTTCTATATATTTGGAAAAGACAGGCCCTAAAAACAGGCATTTGTTTAACTCTAGTATATGGTACAGGACATTTAAGATGGTTTTGTCATTAATATTTACATATTTTATTATGTAAACAGGTCATTTTGGTGTTGGCGACAATTTTCAAAATCACAGCAAGGCCGTACCATATACTAGGATTTTACCCAGGTATTTTTATCTTCAATATTAAGTAACTAAGTATTACTATGCTAAGACAAAAGAAATTTTCAAGAAACATATATACTACAAACAAAGTAACGAACATCAAGTACATTTTTTACAGCTCCATCTGTTTTGAAATGATCTACTGACAAGGTATGTACGATGGTTAAATTTTGCTAATGGAAAAGTTTCGATGCAAAATAAGCAATTAAATAACCTGCAAATTATATCACGCAACTAAACGATATAAAAAAGCTAGTTTAATAATCATTCGAAATCATTTGCTAAGAAATACTATCAGCAAGAAGTCAGATTTATCCCATCATTATTAAAAAAGAAAACATTACATGCTTACAGTTAGCATCCCTTCATTCACTGTCATGTTGAAGCATAATATTTTGACCACAGACAACACAAGAGCATAAAAGGATACGATTAACGTAACTTTCCAACGTCGAAGCCATACTGAACAAAACAAGCACTTTGTAAAATTTCAATGTGCACAAAAATTCTACGAGCACGATCACCCACAAAATCAAAACAGACACAACACACTTCACTACTATTATTGCCATTCTGAAGTTTTAATTTAATTTTGAATGGCTTGATGAAAATTTCTGGAATAAATAAATAATTATTTAAAAACAGAGATTTAGACGCACTCATTGACAATAAAACTTATGATATATAAGTGAAATAAAAAGCCATTCGCGTTAGATTAAAATTATTATTCTCTAAAACTAGAGAAAGGCGGAAAATTTACAACTTGATTACGAAAAGATGGAAACACAAAATGGTTTAAATCTTTTCGTAGCATTGTTTTAGTTTAATTTATTGACAGAGAAAGGTTTTTTTTTTTTTTTGAAATTGTGTGCATAAATGCTTGATTTTCAAGCTTCTTAACTATTCCTTATTTGTAGTAAAGAAAGACCTGAAGTTTCTTAACAATAATTCGAACACTGAACTATGATCTAGAATTTGTAACGTAATAAAAATATTGACTGAAATTAAGTATTTTACCTACTGATCGCTAAAGTTTGGCCAGATTTTATTATGAAATATATCTTCCTATTATGAATTCTTTGGTTTTGGCAATCTAATCAGCACTTAATTTTAATTCTGCCGCTGGCAACAAACATTCATTTTATGAAATTTTTTGTTTTCTAATGTTGTTTGCTCTAGACTTTATTAAAACCTACATGGCTAAAGTAATTTTATCTAAGCACAGGAGAGCAAAACAGTGGGCTGTTTTTTCTCGTTTGTGGCATATATATGATGCAAAATGGCAGAATCCGTTTGATTCAGCGGATCTCATAGCGAAGTATTTGTCTGGAAAACATAAACCAATTTTCCACACTTTAAGCGACTGTGGTGATCATGTTGTTGTTATAAATACTGCAGATATTGCTATGCCGGGTACAGAATGGAAGTATAGAATGTATCAACACAATGACATGCGGGGTGCTAAAAGTTCATTTACTCCTGCATGGGAACTTCATAATAAAGATGCAACCAAAGTATTATGGAAGGCTGTTTATAAAGCATGCGGGACGAGTTTACTTCGTCATACTAGAATGGAACGACTGCATCTCTTCCCTGGTAGTGAAATTCCTGAAGAAATTAAAGAAAATATATGCTCACAAATACGACAGTTGCGACCGGCGCCGAAAAGATTAAGTGAATATTCACAAGAAGAACTCGATCAATTTCCTAAATTGTTTGAATGGCCAGAAAATTATTCTAAATTATGAAGTGGTGACATTTTTCTTCATTTCGATTGTGTTAACATTTAAAAAGTTGTCATATGTTCAATAAAACTGTAGTCTGTAATTATCCCGTAGTTGATTATTTTCAGCTTCTATGCAAATAATTGCTAGGCCTTTTATTTCCTTGCATAGTTTAGCAGGTAGGTTTTATTCGGAAAAACGTTTTTCTTATAGTACTGTACTTTCTTATAGTCTTTAGTGACTGACATACTATCCTTGTTTACATTAATATGTGTAATTGATTGTAACAGTAATTTTTATATAATTTTGGAACCAGTATGTTGCGAAGTTTCCACCTCCATTTTGAAGCTTATATAAAGTTTCTTTATTATTTGTGAAATTTTGAGACTAAGAAAACTAAAGAGACGTTATAATTTTTAATATATTAAAACTGCTGAGTGTATGAAAATAAGTATATTGTTCATTTTTTTTAACAGAACATGCATTTGTCTGAAATTATTATTCAAATTATTTGAATGAAAGTATAGACTAAGGAATATATTAAAATTTAAGTTATAAAATATGAGTGTAAGACAATTTCTCCCTCCTTTCCACATGCCTTCCTGGTGTAACTGGAATCACACGCAATGTTTATTTGAGAGGTCCGGAGTTTGAATCCTAGGGAGGGCATTCAAGATTTCTTCAGTTTCCTGATATCAAAAGATTCTAAATGACTCTAGAAGTGGTGCCCAAACCTCTCTTTGGAGTAGGCTCTGGCAATCATTCTTCCATGTTATATGGGCTCGACAACAACAAGTGGTGCCTGAACTAAAAGGTGGTGGAGGATAATTCATCAATATCAGGATTTGCCAATTGAATCCCTTAATCCTTAGTTGCTCTTTAAAAGGGGTAGTATATAAGGTATGTTCTCCCTTTTTTAAAAGTATTATTCGGATAATATGCATAGGCAAAATCATAGCTAGATATTTCTTCACCTGGAGGAAAGAGCTATATGTGTGTCTTTATCTGTAGTCACATTTACTATATTAGACAAATTAGCTATATTATATTAGTACATTTTTATATTAGTTAAAGTTAAATCATAATATTATAATACTGTTTTAAATCACTATACTGTAACTCTTATAATATTTTTAATTGCAACTTTACGTGTTAAAAAATTATGGAAATGGTTTGTAGTTTTTAAAAGATCAGATAATACAAATGTAAATAATAGTGTAAAATGTATTATACTAACTTTTAAGCACTTCTTAATAATTTTTTCTATTTGTCAATTATTTTTTTCCCAAAATTTACATCAAGTTATATAATTTATGCTGCGGGGGAAAAATTGACATATTTGAGAGTTTTTCTTGTGTAAGTGAAGATCTTACGATAAAAATATATTTACGGCACCTCCTTGGCAGTACACGGACACCAAGTTTGTGCAATTCTTTGACTTGTTATTTTGTGTAGTGGCGATTTTTACGCCAAAACTCGCCGCTGCACAAATCCAAAATAACAACTCAAAGAATTGTACAAGCTCGGTATCTATGCACACATTGACCTATTTTCACTTTAAAAAACATCAGCGAATTGCAGACTAGACATGGCACACTCCCTTGACTTCATCCATGTACACATATTCACTTAAAAAGGTGTAAGGAGCAGCCAATAAAATATATATAATCTCAATAAACAACAGTTTAAATTGAACAATGAAGTAACATTAAAAAGGAAATTTATCTTACCATTACACGAAGGAAATATCCCTTACCTTATTTACGAATTTCCGAGTCTTCAGTGTCAAACAAAATTCCTTAACAGCATCCTAAAACTTCCTAAATTATCTGAACTAGAATGTTTATACTTGCATTGCCACATAAATTCACAAAAATAAGAGTAAAAAATATCCTCCACAGTGCCAGTATTGTCCTACGTTCGATCATACACATTTCCTTCCTACAAACAACACTTGTAATTGCTACTAAGTAAACCTTCATTTACATACCAGTCAATTAATGCTTTCTCCCTTTCATTCCAAATTATACTGAAACTTCAAGTTAATCTTATCACATTCAGCCATTTTACCGTGTAAACCACAAAATAACCACCGTACTTCCTATGTAACATCTAATGCACAAACAAGCCCTTTACTTTTTTCCATCATTCAAATTCACCGCAATCATGCAACCAATTATGTCATAAGAGAGTTTCCATAGCATTTAACTACTCAGGTTACCATAAATGAAACAACAAATTAGTGATAATGTTGGATTGTGCATTAGCATTGAAGGCATATTGAGTAAGTTTCCTCGAGCACAGTTTTCATTAAAGAATCACAAGTCAAAAAGTTAACTACGGAATCTTTATTTAATAAAATAGGATAATTTTGCTTAACATAAGCATAACAAAAAGTAATAACCTTCACAGACATTAAAACACTGAAGTATTGAAAAGGAGATAACTTACGTAGAATCATCATCAGTCCTAAATATCATCAGGCTTACCTATTTTAGGCAATAAGAAAAAAGAAACAGGAACATACTTCGACATAGTACCTGAAAGAGAAGAAAGTATTAACTGCATTAGACCTTTGGCCAGGTGCAAAATAGCTTATAAGGTAATGCACTCCACGTAGCTAAGGTTAAAGTCAAATATACTGCATTGCTCACGAACTTTACTTTCTCTAGCCAATATATATCTTGGCGTACGTTTGTTTTGTATGCCTTTCGAGTTTCATTATGCAAAATACCTAAATTTATGCTAACATTGCCCCTGTTTTACTAATGAAACTCATATCAATTGCAATTCATGCCTGAAAAATGGAAATTTAGCTTTAGGAATTGGTTTAGTCATAATATCAGCAACCATTTGCTCTGTTGAAAGGTAAGCAAGTTTTATTATTCCTTTGTTATTCAAGTCGTGTATATGATGAACTTTTGTATCAATATGTTTTGTGCGCGAACTGAATTTTTCAGAATCTACAAGTCTTATAGTAGACTAATTATCTTCAAATACCTTTATCGGTAGAGTTTGGGGTAGCTTGAAATCTTCTGTTAATTTTAATAGCTATAATAGCCCTTGTGTAGCTTGCGATAGTGTAACATATTCAGCTTCTGCTGAGGATAAAGAAACACAAGTTTGTTTTCTTGAAAACCACGGAATACAGTTTTTTCCTAATAAAATAACACTTCCTGATGTAGATTTTCTGTCTTCAATATCTTGTCCCCAATCAGCATCTGAATAAACTGTAATATTAGGTTCTTCACTCGACAAAATTTGTAAGGATAGATTCTTACAAACTAGAACAGCCGAATTTCAGACTAACCGAAAACCGCCATTGGGGGTCAATTTGATCCTCATAAGAAATGTAAGTAGAAACACAGTAAATGATTGAAATGACCACATAAAAGAGTTTTTAGAGGTTTTTATTTTATTTTTTTATATTTAGAATTTTTTTTTCGTGCAATTAGTGCAAATTAGCACATAATATCTTTCAATGTAAGATTACAAAACAAAAACAAAATCTATGAAAAAACAAACAAAAGATACAAATGCAAAAAGTGGAAATATAGAAAATATGCAAAAAATTACAAAAAAAACATAAAATTGGGAATAAACACCAAAATAATGTTTTCCAAAGTTGTTATACATTACCGCAGGTGATACAATGAAATTGACCCTGACAGACAAACACATTTACCACAATTGGTTTCTGGCACCACAGCTGACAACAGTCTTTGTTTGTCCTTTGAAACTTTTTGCACAATTTTTTGTGTTTATGTTTTGGGGCAACTGTTCTGTAGTTCTAGCTTCGAGAATAAATTCTCGACGGGAAATAGAGGTGCCCAAGGATTCTTTGAATATAATCCAAGCATTGAGTGCAGCAATGTCAAGGACGTTGTAAAAAACATGTACAGGCCACCTGCGACTTCCACTACTTGTACTATATTTCCTCAGCATCTGATCTGCGACATCAATGCCACATTTTGTACTGTTGTAGTAAGTAACAGTGTTCGGGTTTTTCTTTATGCTGTCGTCAACAAACATGTTACTGTGCATCGTGCTCAGAATCACGACATTCTTTTTGCTCTTGCACCTATATATTGTGAGTGTTTTGTCTCCATTTTTCAGTGCAAAAGATGAATATTGTGCTGAAGAAGTGTCACGAGCAATAGGGGGTAATTCTCGCTTATTCAGACGCATCGTTCCGACAATTGTGGTTTGTTTCGCAGAAAGTTCATCTGCAAGTAAAAAAATTGTCAGTTGTGACATTGAGTCCGGAGTTTAGATGTGGTTGCAGTAATTTGAGAACTACACTTTCCCCAAGTTGTAAATTAGTTGGTCGTTCTTCATCCTTGCCCAGATAAGGATAACCATTCAAAACATATTTGGATTTTACATCAGTTGCTAGCCAGAATTTGATGCCAAACTTGTCCGGTTTATTCGCCATGTACTGGATAAATCTACATCTTGATTTACAAGGCAACAATTGTTCATCAACGGTTATTTCTGGTCCAGGATTATAGCATAAATAACAGTTTTCCATTAGCTTGTACCAGGTTTCAGAAGCGAGAGCAAATTTGTTAGTGGCGAGACGATCAGCTCTGGTGCTTCGGACATCGAATCTGAGATACCGCATTATTTCACGGAACTTGCGTGACATTGTTTCTTTGAACACAGGTGGTCCCAATTCTTGTTCCACAAATCATCTGCACAAAGTTTTGAATGGCCTAGTGCTCCACGGGCACACAAAAGGGCAAAAAAGGCATCAAGTTTTTCCAGAGTAACATGCCAGTTACTATCATCTCTAAGTTGGCGTCGTGCCTCAGCAACTGTACATGATTGAATGTGTTTCACCATTGATTCACTCACCATCAAACGCCACGCTGAAGCAGGATTTGTTCCTATATTACGACGAGCAAACGACGTTGGTCCACTTGCAGTGGTTACAATATTTCGAGCTGGCGTGCGACCTGAAGTGGAAGCGGTGCTGCTAAGGTTCATAGGGGTCCAGAGAATACCGCTGGATGAGGTATACTTCTCATTACTGCTGCCAGCAACGTTGTTGCCTCGTCCTTGACCACGACCGCGTCCACGTGAGCTTCCGGCTTCCCGCATAGGGATCACATTTCCAGAATTGTCCTCGACATCACTATCACTGCTTTCAGAGAGCGACGCATTCTGTAAGTTCACATCAACGTTAAAATCTTCATCACTGCTATCATCACCACTTATATCTGATTCCAACTTTTCAAGGAGGGCAAGGCACTCTTGTGTACTCAATCCTCTTCCTCTTGGCATTGCAATGGAGAGAGAATATGCTCCGTTCTGGATTTTATTTTTCTCCTCTGAGTCAATCGCGATAAGAGCTGCGTGTTTCCCAATGCGCAGAAAACGAAATCGTGGCATCGGGAATTCAAAAACGGACATTCGCTTAAAAAATATGTCGTTTTTCTTATGAGGGTCAAAATGACCCCAGTTGGCTGTTTTAGGTATATTTGCGATTATTTATTTAAATAATTAACGTAGAAATATGAAAAATTGGCATAGTATACTTGGAAACATTTTAGAAAAAGTAAAAAAATATCAGCTTCGAAGCTCGGCTGTATGTTAAAAAAAACGCGGAAAATTGGAAAAAAAGGTCAAAATGACCCCGACGGCACTTCTAGTGTTAAGTATCTAAGGATTCTTTTAACAGCATTCCAGTCCTTTTGATGTGGATTATTACACCTTGCTGAGTATGTGAGTTGAGCTGTGATATCTGGTCTTGATAGACGATATACAAAAGACTTCCAATAGCTTGGCGAAATTTATCATTTGAAGTTAGGAATTTTCTCCTTGTTTAGGTTATATAGTTCGTTTCCATGGTGTGCTAGCGGTTTCACTTCTTCAAGTTGAAATTGCTTGACAAGGTGATTTATTTTATTTTTCTGTGATAAGAGATAACTTCCATCTTGCTTGCGATTTATTTCCATGCCTAAGAAATATTTAGCTTCACCAAGATGCGTTATTTGGTAACGTTTCTTTAAATCATTAATTGTTTGAAGAATTGGTCCTTCTTTTGTAGAACTTATTAGGATGTCATCAACATACACTATTAAATTAATTCTTTTATCACGAACCACTTTTGTGAAAAGACACGCATCTGCTTTGCTTTGACTGAACCCAAGATTCTTCAATGTATTTTCAATTTCTGCATTCCAGCACCTAGCTGCTTGTTTGAGACCATAAATCGACTTCTGTAATTTACAAACTTTATGTCTTTCTTCTGGAACCACAAATCCTTCTGGTTGTTCCATATATATTTCTTCATTTAAGTTGCCGTACAAAAAGGCTGTTTTAACATTTAGTGGACGTACCTTGGCATTATTATACGCTGCCCATGCTAAGAAAACTCTTATCATAGTGCGTTTCACTACTGGTGAAAATGTTTCATCATAATCACTGCCGTATTTTTGAGTAAATCCTTTGGCTACCAAGCGTGCTTTATATTTTATATTTTTATCAGTTTCATCGTATTTTGTCTTAAACACCCATTTGCTGCCTACTGCATGTTTTCCTGGTGGTAATTCTGTAAGTGTATAAGTTTCATTTTCTTTTAGAGAATGTATTTCTTCTTGCATAGCCTTGATCCAAGCTTCTTGTTCACGTTTTGGTAAGTTTAGAATTTCTTCAAAGCTTTCTGGATCTTTATTTTTAGGTAAGATTGATTCTTCGTCTTCTGCTTTATAAGAGAATCTTTCTGGTGGGACTCCTTTTGGTTGATTTGCTAGAAACCCTTCTTTCTACATTTTCTTCACATTTAATTAACTCTTCGGAACTTTTTGAATCTTCTGTAAATCATCGCCAAGAGATTGTTTCTTCATTATTTTCTTCATCTTCTTGCGAGTTATTGAAGTGAATTAATTCTAAATCTCAGCATTATTTTCTGCATGTTTTGTTAGATAAAGACGCGTTTTCTGAAATTTAACAGTTCTACTTACTATTATTTTTCTTCCACCTACATAAATCCTGTATCCCTTACTTCGTAAATCGTATCCTACGAATATTCCTTCTTCAGCTCTGTTGTCGAATTTACGCCGTTTTTGTTTGTTCACATAATAAAATGTTTTATAGCCAAATACTCGTAAGTGACTTAAGTTTGGTTTTCTACCATTCCACAAATCATATGGTGTTCTATCTGTGGCTTTAGTTGGTAACCTATTTTGAAGATATGCAGTGGTAGCTGCTGCTTCAGCCCAGAATCTTTTCGGTAATTTATAGAGTTTATTAGCATAGCTTTTGTCATTTCTATTAAAGAACGATTTTTCTTTTCTGCGACGCCGTTCTATGCCGGACAATAAGAAACTGAAGTTTGATGAAAAATTCCAAGTTTCTTTAAATAATTTTCAGTAGTTTCGTTACAGTATTCTGTACTGTTGTTGGATCTGAGAACCTTTATTTTCTTTCTAAATTTATTTGTTGTCGATGCAACATACTGTTTAAGTTTGTCGAATACTTCATCTTTTGAAAGTAATAAAATAAATTTGAGTATAACGCGAATAGTTCATCAATGGAAGCTTACCAAATATCTTTTCCCTCCTAAGCTGTTGACTTTCAATTGGCCCACACAGATCCGTGTGCACTAAATTCAGTGGATTTTTAGAATCTAAAACTCCAGTTTTGGGGTAAGATTTTTCAGTTTAGTTTCGCTTTTACACGAAGTAGAACTTTCCACACTATGTTGCATTTGCCAAGTTTAATGCCGTCTGCCAAATCATTTTTCTCAAGTGTTTTTATGGCATCTATATTTCTGTGACCTAATCTTTGATGCCATTTTAGTGTACAGTTCGTATTAGAACGTGAAACATCATTAGCTAAGTATGCTTTCTCGTCAATTCAGTTTACGGTCAATTTATATAAACCTTGCTCAGTGTTTTGCCGCGGCTACGAGTATATTGTTACACTTTATGTAACACTTATTACTATCAAATGTAACAATGCAACCTTTATTCGTAACAGATTGAACGGAAAGTAAATTACTATCTAAACCTGGTACATACAATACATTTTCTAACTTTATTTGTATAACCTGACCCTTTGGGTTTTGAATTTTAAAATAGCCTTCACCAATACCATAAGAATTTAATTTAGCATCATTGGCTACAGTTACTATTTGTTTATTAGAGTCATTTAACTGAGAGTTTATTTTCCACTTTTAGAACTTGATAAAACTGCGAATTTTCAGTTTCAATACTTTTAAGATACTTATTTTCTTTAAGTTTTGTTATGTTTTCTACACTTTGTGTATTTGCTATTTGGCATGCATTACTTTTATTATTTTGAGAATAATTTCTTACTTTACTATTATTTACATCGTTTTTCGGGGAAGTTTAGCGTTGCATTTTAAATGAAAACAAACATCATTTATTTGTATGTTATTCTCTTACAATATGTAAATATCGTGATTTATTTTCGCTTTTACTTTTAAAGCAACTGAATCGTATTTTTGAACTTTCTTATTTCACACATCTATACAATACTCATCTATTAGTTTGTTTTAACACATTCTAGTGTTGTTTTTAACATTCTAGCGACAATTCAGCTCCGATTACTTTCTATTGCAGTTATTAAGGAGTTGTATGAATTTGGTAAAGAACATAGTAATATTGCATTAAGTTATTTTCTTTAATTTTCACCTATACTACGCAGCTTTCAGCCTATTCTGGTACTCCTTTGATATGTTCCTGCATTTTAGAACTTATATCTAATGGAATATAGTTTTTCTAAGAAGAAATAACTTGTTTGTGAATTCACACGTTCATGGACACATTTTAACTTCTGCCAAATTTCTTTTGCAGATTTACTATGCAAAACATGGATATTTGCGAATCGAAATGTTTAACATATAAAGCTTTAGCTTTACGATCATTCTTAACCAAATATCAGTAACAGTTTCCGGTTTTTTCTTCGATTGCAACATCATCTAACCTTCTTTATTAGAAGTTGTTCTATTTTAATTTCCGCACTGATAATTTTCATCTGTTAACTTTTCTATACAAATTGATTCTTTTAAATAGACATTATTATTTGTACAATTATTCTTATAAACTTTGTACTAGTATTTTCAACAAAACGTTTAATACTTATGCCACTGGAATCATTACAATTTTTTTTAGAGCATTTCACAAGGCATTTTCTCAAGCTTATTAAATTAATCAGTC